ATATGTTTGTACCAAAACTCAGATTGTATTGGCCTAATCCCCTGTTATTTGAAATAAGAATAGTTGGGGGTCTGCATTTTAATGTCGAGTCTCTTTCTTAGGTTTCATTCATGCCTGTTCTAGTCTTAGCGGCAAAGCTATGCCCAGAAGGCATGGAGGCGACTCTTTTTGCGACCCTAATGTCGATTTCCAATGGTGGTAGTGTCCTCGGGGGTCTAATAGGAGCCGGCCTAACTCGATTATTTGGAGTCACAAAGGATAAATTTGACAGTTTAACTTTTCTGATAATCCTTTGCAATCTTAGCTCATTGCTGCCTTTGCCTCTACTCGGCCTCCTCCCCGAAAATACAGCAGATGACGACAGTGATATTGAAATGAAATCTAACTAAACTTTGGTTATGCAAACAATTGGAAAAACTAAGTGTAATTGAAGCTTTGTGGCACGTTGGTACTTGTTACACGGTTGGTGCTAATGAAAAATAAAAACTGCTGTTGAGGGTTATATGACATAACAGCTTATTTGGTCACGTTGTATTGTAATTAGTGGATACCCTTGCCTATTTTGTTGAAACTAACAATGATACTTTTCACTTCTATCTCAAAACATTGTTGAGCCATTAAGAGACTATCAAAAAAAGTGATGTTACTCGTTTCATACATCAAATTGATTTTTTGATTTCCCATCTCTTTTACTAATTTACTTACAATATCAATATTTTGAAAGAAAATTTGCTACTTTAGAACTACTAAGAACACAAATGGTTTTGATCGGTTTTTTGAAGAAAATTGTTATCTTCGAAGACTCTGAAATATCCATCTATTTATTAGTAAACTAAAATTTTCAAATATTTTGTGAGACATGATTATGATGAATGACTCACTATTTAAAAGGAAATTTTCACAAAACGATAAATAATTTTATTGTTTTCTTCTTACAATTGCAACCAACAGATAAGGCGTTTGGTTTTTAAATAAATATTATCTATCGGCAGCTATAAGATTTTGTGTAAAATTACAATACAACATTCTACAACGTATTAATACGATTTTTCGTACTAATTACAAGAGCAATTTTACAAATTTGATCTTTTCAAACAAGATTTTCGAGACTATAACGTTCTTCTTCACTTTTGAATTGAATCCATAATGAAATAAGCTCACGATGCACATAACCACTAGGATGCGCCTCAAGTATCTGCTGATTTGTTTGATCTATAAATTCCTTACTCAATTCATCATTTATAAATGTTATGTTATCTTCTCGATTTTTGGACACGAACCCCAAATATTGATATCGTGTGTCACAAATCCATCCAACACATTTAAAGCACTCACCTACTCTCTTTGCTTTTCGTTTATTTGCAAAAGTACTTTTATCCATACTTTGCATATATTTATATGAATTTGAAAACTCTACAGATAATCAAACTTGTGCTTCAATCAACCATCGAACATCACTAGGAATACCCTTACACATTAGCATCCTCAATCTTTGTAATTGAGATTGATAAATCATTTTTATAATATTTATTGGACGAAATGGATAATATTTACGGATATTTCAGAGTGCTAAATCCATTTGTAAATTCAGACCATTGTTAAGGAAGATTGAATGAATTACCTGGTAATTTATAGAAAAACATGATGCGTATGCAATACGACTCTAGATTTAAACTGTATTTAAAAGTATGTGTGTGAAGACATGATGCGTATGTGATTCGATTCTGGATTTAAACAGTGACGAAAAGATTGTATGCAAAAATCTATACTTAAGGTGTATTTATTGCTGCCAAAAGATGATGTGATACGTCACACAGTATTATTGTGATCACTTTAAAAATGGTTACCAATATCGATGATGATGGTTTACATAATTAATTTATTCTTTATGATATGAGATACTATTAATTGTCCTCGATTAGTGAAAACTATTACTAGCTAAATATTTGAGAATCGCTATTTGATGAATTTGAATATGAAAGGGGTACGATATATATAGGCCTACTACCTCTCCATGTGTGCTACTAGATATTATGGATCCACAAGATAGCCACCTGTGTATGTGACACGTAACCTGAATTTACGAAATGATTGATCAAAGAATGAGTATATGACACGTAATCTGAAGTTACAAGAGGTTTGATCAAAGAATGTGTATATGACAAGTAACCTGAAGTTACGATATATTTTGATCAATTAATGAGTATATGACATTTAACCTGAAGTTTACGTGATGATTGTGAAAAAATGAAAACAAGTATCATATGAAAAAGTCATAAAGTTAGTAATATGCCCAACTGATATGAATGAACTCTTGAAAGAAAAATGTACACATTACAAATGATATGAGTTCAAAGTCCTCCTATTATATGTTGAAATCGATAATGGACTAGAAACTATATGAACTCTCCTCAAGAAATTCAATATTGATCAAATATATGAGTAAAGGTTTACTAAGATTTGTTAAGATGGGGGGGAGGGGGGGGTGGGGGGTGTAATTCAAGAATTAAAATTTGCAAATAATATTTATGAGTGCATCATATTGAAAGGATGAAAGTCATAGAGTCAATGATAGCGATGGTGGTGAATTACATGAAATAGTATGATGGTGGAATGATATGCTGAAAGCGTTGGTATTGTGTAAATTTAAATTTCTCAGATTAGTGATGAAATGAGGTATATATATACCATTGATGAAAAGCATGAAGACATGACAATTACATACAATCAATTGATAATGAGATATCTCAATTAGTATGGGCAATAATGAAATGAATAAGTATCGACACAGACAAATGAATACGCTATAAATGATATTGACGAGAATGAAATCAATTGAAAATGTGAATATCGTAAACTGCTGGTAGCAAGACCATATCTGCTAATAATGAGAATGAGTTTAAGACTGAAAGTTGCACAAAGCATGATACGATATATTATTATAAATACCATATGTATCTGAAAAATCTGAATAAATAAATCTATATGATACTAGTGCAAATTATGGAAAGATTATTATGATGAATATATGGAATACGTGTTGTAATCTTTTTCCATTGGCTGAGGTTTTGTCCCATTGGGTTTTCCCAGCATGTTTTTACGGAGACAACAAAGATGGCGTATTCACATGAATAATGGACTCTTTTCTTTCATTAGGATTTTGTCCCATTGAGTTTTTCCTAATAAGGTTTAACAAGACATATTTATGGTATAATGAAGACTAAATAAAGGATAAATGATATGATTACTCATGATGATGAAAAGAGACTGGAGCAGCTGTACACTTTCCTTCGATCAAGTTTTTTGCCACTGAATTTTTTGACAAAGTTTTAACAAGACAACACATGGATACTCCACTAAAGATGATTTATTTGAGGGGGAGTGATTTTATGCTTCCACAATGGTTAGGTTTTGTCCCACCGGGTGCGGTTTTTGATGGCCACAAGCTACACTTCAAGATGTTCGGATTGGGTTTTGTTCCCAATAAGTTTAGGAAATAGTCATTCAAGGTAGAGTGTTATGAACCATAGGAAATTAATATATACATACGTGAATGACTCTTTTGCCCTCGATGTAATTGTATTGTTACGATTGTGCCATCAGAAGTTTTTTTATAAATAAGAGTTTCAGTTACAATGAAAATCGTAACAAGATAATACATTATCTATATTCTCTCTTTTTCTCTAATTTTATAACAAAGTGACTTTTGTTAGTCCTCGATGTCTTTGGAGAAGTTATTATTTCAGCCAATGTGAAACACTATTGANAAAAAAAAAAAAATCCGAAACAATATGTATTAGTAAAATAATTGGATACAAAATAATAGAATCCTTATGATTGAACTTAACATTATTAAGAAGATTATTTTGAAAATAATTAATGCTACAGGATAACAACGTTTTCAATTATATTCTTCATATGCTGTGTTTGGTAAGCCAAATAAGCTAGCTTATATCTTATTTGGTTAGTTTATAAGCTTCATGTATTCAAATAAACTTCGTTTGGTAGGACGAACTTTTTTAATAAGCTCGAGCTTATCTCATAAGCTACTTTAGGTAGCTTTTCAAATAAGCTAGTTGAATATTTTATTTCAGCTACCTTATCAGCTAATTTAACCAAACACTCTTATCATATAAGGTAGTTTTTCAACTGTAAGTCATAAGCTATAAGCTATAAGCTCAAAAATTACATATAAGCTATAAGCTAGCTTATCAGCTATCAGCTAACTTATCAGTCAGTTTTACCAAACATAGTCTTAGATACTTTGGCTAACTACACATTAATATTAATTATGCCATGTTCCAACAATATTTTGATTTTAGCTCATACTTTAATTAGTTTTGGACTGATTTTAAATCATTGTCGAATGTCTTATAAGTAGAAAATAAAATTTGAATATAAGAAAAGATAAAAGGTAACCATTCTATTTAATGCGAGTTATTATACTAAGATGTTACAGCAAAATTATAAAATATATCCTGTCAATAGCAAATTTAATTTGTTTACTAACTTTTGTGAATATTTCAAAAAAATCTCACTAACTAATAAAAAATGAGCACAATATGAACAAAAGTGCAAAAATTATGCAATATATATCAGTCAACTGATTGCTAAAATTGTAAAATATGTCTAATAACTCACGTGTTTGAGAGGAATGATAGCAATTAAATTAGTTAGTGGACATTTTTATTCATAATCACACAAGTCATTATTAAATACAATTGTCATATACTCAACTACTCAAGTTACTTGGTATATTTTGCAATTTTGTCAAATTTAACGACATCGTTGGAGCTATAAAAATGATTTCTCTCTTTGTCCAATAAGGCTATAGAGCTCTTTCTATCTAATACAAGTGTGACACTTCGACCGGCTGAGAACCGTCTCGATCTTGCTCCTCTCGCCGGTAGTACGCCGAAACATGCATGAAATCCTCACACCGGAGGGATTTTCCGATAAAGAACCTCCAACGCTCGAGTCAGTCTTGAGAAGAAGATGAGTATAATATAAGGTTTAATGGAATATGAAAGAATGTGTGAAATTCATAAGGCTCATCCCTATATATAGGGGTGAGCTACCTGTTCTAGAAGCTGCTCGACATTGGTGAGTTGGTTGCCCTAGAGTTGCCCGACTTGCCCGATAGTACAGCCCCTAGGTAGGTGTGTCAGGAATGTGTCAGAAACGGTTATTAACCTAGACCAATTAGCTTGCGCCACGTGTCCCCTGCACGTGTATCCGAGATTCCTTTGGAGGCTCTTATGTTCGACCAGATCTGGGCAGGCTGTCAAGCTGCCCCTAGCGTAGAGGATGGTCGATCTCGCGACCATTTGCTTCGACCACTGAAACCTTCGACCAAGTCTTATGTGAAGCTGGGACCTGCTAGATTTCCCAAGATTCCCGTGATCGCGACCTTTGTTTGTCATCGACCAGAGTAGACTCCGCTCGACCAGACCAATTAGTCCGATTTATTCTGCCGACCCGCTGGACCGGTCTAATATATATAATATCCCATATCACTATCTATCTATATCTATCTATCTATCTATCTATCTATCTATCTATCTATCTATCTATCTATATATGTATTATTATAAAAGGACGAGTGGTTTTGTAAAAATATGAATTGCCTAAAAAATCCATACTTTGATATATTTTTAATGGCAAAGTTGTAATCACGCTGAATATATCAATATAAAAGGATTCTAATCTAAATTTATAATTAAAACACAAAGATTATAATTATATAATAGAATAATA